TAAATTCAATAGCTTTAAATGAGATTAAGGAAAGACAGTGGAAATTTATAGGTCTACAATCTTTTCAAATTGCAGCCCAAAAATACATTTTGGAAAAGTCAACTTAAATTAAATTATTTTAATTTAAAGTTATTATTATTATTATTATTTATATTTTTCACAATTTGTTATTATTGAAAGTGGTGTAAGTCCATTTTACGTAAAAAAAAATCGTGTATTTTCTTTAACGATTCTATTAATTATTATTACATAATAAAATCTAACAAGTTTATAGTTTTAAAAATATTATCTGAGTTTATTAACGTTTGTTTCAATATTTTTCTGTTGATTTAAACGCAAACTCTTAAATATCTCAATATATGAATGAATGGACTTTTATACTTTCATTTATAAAGGAACCCAAAAGAACAACAATATTAAAAGTTAGTAAAAAATCTAAAACATTCGAATCCACGAGGTGAGAGGTTATTGATAATTTCACGACAAGATGTTGAGGTCAAATTCAGTCGTATTTTAAGGCCCTTTATTTGTCAGATTTAATCTTCTGGAGCTTTCCATCTTCCTAAAAGAATAAATATAAGTTTATTCATTTATATATTAATAATTAAAGCTGAAAATAAAAGAATGACTTAATATACAACACATTTCTAATGTATGTAGTTCGGAACACAGAACAGCTCACAACAAGAAAAATCACAAACACAGACAATAATCATACGAATAATTCATTATAATGTAAAAATATACATTATAAAATATCTATTTTAATATAATTGACTATAATCATAATCATATTAATAGATTATTTCAAGGACCTACCGAATATTCGAAATTATTATTGAATTCATTGGTAAATATATACTCTATATAATATATATAGGCTATATATTTTACCAAAGTCGATTATATAATTTTAGTAATAATAAATTGTATTTTAGATCAAACATTGTCGAAATCAAATGCAAAGATACACCTAGGCATGTGACAAAGTTGAATATCAAATTAATTTACTTAAATTTATCTATAAAAATAAACTTTATTATATTAAAAATATAAAGCAGTTCAAATACATAAAAAATTAGATATAAATTGTAATGAAAAATAAATGATTATAATTATCAAATGAAAACGTTTAGTTTGTGTCTATTGTTGACTTCTTGTATGCTTTACGCATTGAAAGATTTCACCAAAAAGTTGGAAACATACTAAGACAAAATTAAAATAATTAAAGATAACAGAAGCAATGGAGACGGTACATTGTCAAATTATCTTATTTTAATTGAAGTTAAATTCATATTCTTTGTCTTTAAGAACGAAATACATTTTTTTATCAACAGCTTACTGTCTTCGAATCTTGTTCCAAATATAAGGAATTTTCTGGATGAAAACAAGAACTTATTCGATTTATAAAAGTTGTACAACTATTTAGGTATTAATTAGGGTTTCTCAAACAGGGTCCCGGGATTCCGATTGTATTTTTAATCCGGGAAATATCTCGGAAAATTCTTCTCGTTCCGGGAAATCCCGCAAATTTCTTAAAAATTCACTTCTTTTTCTTATTTTGTGTTAATAAGGTTGAGGAAATTTTACAAATAGAAAGAGTATAATTAAGATATACAAAATATCTTGAAATCGTTTTTTTTTAAAGTAATTTAATGCATTCTTCAATCTCCAAAATCATATTAATAATGCTGTATAAGATATATATTAAAGATTACCTTTTGAATTACGTAGAAATTTTCACAAATAGAAAAAATTTATTAAAGTTTGCTCAATTTGATTCTTATTTTAGTAATGAAAAGTCCTGCTACCGAAAATGCTCTTTCCGATTCAATTGATGTGAGTGGAATTCTGTCTTCTCTTAAATAAACACGTGTTATGTGTTTTTTTCGCCTGTAGCCCGGAAGATTTCTACTTCGTTTTCGAGATTTTAGTACTTCTTTTGCTTTCTAGTATTCTTGATTTGTCTACCTCTGCTGTTTTAACAGAAACATCGAGTTTATAGCTTAATAATTCGGCAGTTCGTTTGTCTTTAATAATCAGGTTTATAAAGAAAAACTTCATACTCGCAGACTTCGTACTCGTTTGTATTCTTGCCCAATTTGCACAACTGGCGTTATGCAGTTATTTAAGCTATCGGGCATGGTTAAAAATTAAGACAGCATAAGCACAATTGAAATGAGAAACCCTAGTATTAATATAATTCTAAGACAAATATCAATATGTTATCGATCCTCCATTAATTAAAGTAAAAGAAATTCTTAAGCGGTTTTTCTGTTCTTACTAAAATAGTATTTTATACTGTTTGAAGAATAGATGTTCACACTTTGTTTTCTTCAGTATACGTTCGATGCAATACAATAGGCTACACTAAAGAATGCTCGAGGCACAACGTTTTCCTTTGTACTGTACTGTACAGTATAATCGTTATGCCGAAAGAAATGTTATAGGCCTATCACAAAAATAAAATTCTGTATACTTTTAAGAATTATTGAAATTATAAACGTTTTTAATACATTAGCAATTATTATTATTTAAAAAAATTAAAATATAGTGAATATTAAATACATTAGAATGTTTATTATATCTAAGCAAAATTTGTCTTATGATGGGAAAAATTGATAATCTATTAATTTGTGATGTGTTTAATTGTGTTATTCCTATTCGAACTCATTTAGGGCCAGTTGTCCGAGTTTTAATCAAGGTCAAAGGTTGCTTAATCTATAATTACTCTCCACATGTTAGACGAATGCTCTTTGTTGAGTCAAAGTACTTATCGAGCAATGGGCATAACTGATTCTTTGAATTTGTGACAAGGTTTAAGCTTAACTAATGGCCCTTAATCTATTTTTTATGCATCGAAAACAAGTTTTAGATGCCCGCAGCAGTTTAAGACTTACTTGTTAGTTTAAACAGATCAGAATACGGTTGGATGAGTTTAAAGTAGAATTTAGTGTTTGTCTGATGCAAATGAAGTAGACAGAATATGCCTGGAGGGTAATGTCCAGGGGAATTGAAAAATATTCCGTTGTATATCCTGATACGAACAGTTTTGTAAAAATACATTGAAACAATAATAATTTATGTATAAGTATTTGTGTGTATAGCCTATATCCTATATATATATGTATGGAATATATAATTGGCCAATCAATTGCATTTGTTTCTTCCTCACATCAGAAAAATATCTTCTAACAGTAAGTTTTTGTAAAAGAAACACTGCTGAATAGCATAATTATATATTGCATGATTTGAATGAACAGTCTAATACTTGTATGTTTACCTGGAAAACCCCAGCTGGAAAATTCCACGTCAATATTAAACTATATGGTTGTTGAAATTATTACTCGATTATAATGAATATAGGCCTACAATAAAACCTCGCTAATTCGGACCTTTATTAATTTAGACTAGGCTTTTCCCCATTTAGTCTGAATTAGCGAGGTTTTTCTATAATATATAAGTAATTATTTAATGTGTATTTCTCATATCTCTATACTATCTGCATGTACTGTAGTTTAATAATTAAAATAATTATTTATTATATTTTTAGTAACAACTTTCTAATAGAACAATATCACCATTAATTTAAAGTAAAAAATGATGCAATAATAATAGAAATTAATCACCAACGAATGCTTTAATAGCATTATTGAATCAAAATGAATTTCGATCTATAAGAATCTCTCCAATCGTTAAAATAAAAAAAAAGCCGAAAAATAATTTATTGTGACATTTATTGTGTGCTTTCCACCTCAAATTAGTAGTGGCTTTCCCCTGTACATCATACTTTTCCTTTAACAATAGAGTGGTGCCGGTCATCTATTTAGTTCCTTTCAGAGGAAAATTTTAAATTTAAATAACGTGGCTTTCGGTTTACATCGGACGTTCATGTATAGTTAATTAAGGCCTTCTGCCCCTAAGGTTTTCATATCTGGTTTCGTCTTCCACATATATAGCTCCGTTCTTGAGATTCAGGAAGGACAGCCGGACGGACGACAATGGGAATTTATAGGTCTACAATTTTTTCAAATTGCAGCCCAAAAAAAGTTATATTGACAACTATGAAAAATATTCTATGCCATTATTATAATTAATTAGTTTTATCTCAGTATCTTTGTTCGTAAGTGTATAAGTTATGGCCGAACGATTACGGTGGCAGCTTACTGCTCTGGGGTCCGGATCGAATCCGGACGAGACTATAAGCCAGGAAATTTTCGGGAGATGCTTTATCCGAATATGTCGGACCCCGTTTCTCACCACCCAGCCGCGCGTTGTGGCCTTGCCGAACCCGTAATGATTGGTTCCTTGATGGGGCCAGATCCACAATGGGAGCGAGCAATGGGACAAGACATATACGAGACAGATCATTTGTTAGAAATTCTTGGGGTTGCTCACCCGAATTCCTAGATAGTAAGTAAGTAAGAGTAGTAGTAAGCTAACACGTTAATCGACTCGCCATACGACCGTACATAATTATCACATTTAAAGATGATATACTGGAAAAACGTGGTCAACAGTGGTGCATTATCCTATAGGCAAAAAAGGCAATTGTTTGGCGTCTTTTATAAGAAAATATTTCCCCAAAAAATTCACGCAAAGAAAAATTCTTGTAGTTAACATTGTATTGTACTGTACATGCTACCTAATTCAAATTCATCTAGACTCCGTGAACCTATAACACGTCACTGGGGGGTGAAGAAAATATTTTTCAATTTTTCTATTAATTAATCGGTGTTTTTAAAACTGAATTTCAAATTTTCCATCCGAATTAATATAGACAATCATCTAAGTCTACTTTAGATGAAACACAAATTTATGCGATACCTGACACGTAAAACAAGACATTATCGTATCTTTGGGAGGAAAAGATAGCAAAAAACAATTTAAAAAATCGCTTTACTTTTGATTCGAGTGTCTTTAATTTTATTTTGAATTTAGTATTTCAAATTATCTTCGAATCGATCAGAATTACCAATGGAAATTTGCTCTTCTTTCAGTAAAATGATGGATGGAAACTGGGAAGAGATAAATAACCATGTTCCACTTTCGAATCATTATGCTGTCCCACTGTTGCGTCCCTCCCCTATATATGGACAAACCATGGATAATCACTACATGAACAACATGTCAATTAATGGACCAATGTATCATGGTGACGTACCACACGATATGATCGAATCTAATTATATATTTAATATTGCTAATGGTCGTAAGTATTCCAACAGATTTATTGCAATTTAAAATGTTTATTTATTCTTAATCTTAATGATATTTAACATTATCAGATCAACCAAATGTGGGAAGTGCTATAATGTCTTCATATTCGACCTTAACTAATGACCCCGATAACAATCCGACAGTGAATATCACACAAGCAAATTACGAACACGAATTAAATTATTGTAACTATTATAACAGCGCAAGCAGTACAAATAATAATATTAACAATCACGAGGATAATATGTTAACGGAGTTAATAACAAATAGTCACGAACAAATAAATTTGAATCCAAATCTTATTGAAATGGCGCCACAGCACCATGGTCAGTTGTTATGTTTTATTTCTATAAACTTAAATTAATATTTAATTTAAGTTTCTATAAACTTTCTATAAACTTAAATTAAACTTTCTATAAACTTAAATTAAACTTTCTATAAACTTAAATTAAACTTTCTATAAACTTAAATTAATATTTAATTCTCATTCACATTTCTAGGTTACGAAGAATTAGCAAGGCCTTCTACATCCAGAGACCATATTGAAACCAGCAACGATTCTTTAGCATCTGAAAGAATTAGATCTAGTGAGGTAAGTTTTCCTTCCGAGGGGGTCTTTTTAAGGGTAACTGGCACCTATTCAAGCGTTACAGAAGTGGAGAAAAGCCGGGAAACTCCACGTGGCCAGCCCGTCTGGACGAGGAGAGAACCCACGACCGAACTCTCTGTGTTCAGGGAATGGAACCGCTTGGCCACTGATGGGCCGTGTTCATAATAAGTTTTATTCTCTACCACCTGGCCAGTTGGTGAGTTACGAATTACAAATTAAATTTAATGCACTCTTTAATACAAATATAGTACTACAAGCCTTTGTTCAACATTGTGGGCCTGGCCAGGTGGTGAATAACAGGATCCAATCGGTCTTGAAGATCTGGTTTTCCTCTCCCAGATTCGATCCCGAATCGCCTGGGCGGTAGGGCAACACTCTCATTGTCTTGGCCAACTGGCCGTCCGAATATAATATCATACAAGAAAAAATTAAAAATAAACCAGTATTTTAATATAAGTTTTATTGCGTTAATGATATAAGCATTTACAAAAGGACACTTCCAAAACTTTCACCCTTTGCAGTTACAGTTCTTCCAAAGTTCGTACCACTTATAATAAGTCTTGCAGTCTATTCTGCGTTACGTCATTGAATAGCGTTAGTCATAGCACTTTCGTAATGCACAAAGCCTTTCACATCACCAGTTTGTTTCGGACAATATATCCATTATCAGAATATCTTACTTTGATATTTTCGGTTATCTCCGTGATGCAGTAAAATGAAAACAATTTCGTCTCTGACAAGAAAAAGACTGGGTTCTCCTCATGACAATACACTGGACCATTAAGCTCTCCTAGTTAGTTAATACAATCAGAAAACACTAGATACTTGCATTTCTACAGCTTCCTTATTCAACACATCTCGCCCTTCGACTTTCCTACATTCACCAAACTGAAAGCACTGACGCAGGATTACAGATTCAAATCAGCAAGGATATGGAAAGTGCTATGGTGAATGTACTGTACTGTGTCATTGTCATTCGCTTAATTATTTCAAATGAATAAATTTGTTTATCAAAATTGACGGATTGAACAAGCATAAAATTAAAAAACAAATTATATTTTAAAAATTTCAAAATATTTCTTTTAAGCTAGATTTTTTTTACCTTCATTTTGTCATAAATATTCAATAATAGATTAGAATTACCTTAAATCTAAATGTATTCTACAGCTACTTTATATGGCTTACGATTTTCAATGTTATTCGTTAATGAATATTAATTAAAAATATATTAAAAATTCAGATAATTAAGTGATTTTCCAGAAATTCTTCTAATGTATTTCAGATTAATAAAATGATCTTTTAATATGTTAAAAAAAATTTTTAACCTAAAAATTTTATTAGGAAAATACTATCCTTAATGCTTATACGTCTGTTAGTCTCATAAATGCCAATATAAAATAAATAAATTCATAAGAATTTGACATTTAATTTCTATTAATTGAAAAAGAATTCAATCATATTCAGTTAAGTCAATACACAGTTAAGGAGCATCAGTATAAGTTACACAGTTAATAATAACAGTTTAATATCGTGAAGAGTGTTATTCATGTTAAATTTGAACGATTTCTAAGAAACAGCAAACACACACATACAGACACACACATACAGACACACACAAAAATTCCATTAAAATACTGGTATTTTTTATAGGAGTGGATAGAAAACTGTCCAGATCAATTATCTCATAATGGACAAGATTTTAATTGGATGAAACAAGGATTTTATCCGGCTTCTTATGCTTCTAATCCACCTCACGATATTCCATCGACATCCAATCAACTTACACCACAGAAAAAACATCATATGTATGGAAGAAAATGTTATCCTTACGATGTATGTATGAACCATTTAAAACGTTTTCTTAATTATTCAAAATTTATTCGGATGGAAAAAGTGCTGACATTAATCATTTCTGAATAAATTGTCGCTTGCAATCGCTAGCAATTAAATATTTATGAATATTAAAAGAAATAGCGTAGTTGATGTAAAATTTATTTTTTTTTACGTCTTTGCGAATTTCTCTAATATTAAAAATATTTTTTAATATAATTTTAGGAGAACGGAATCGATTTGAACGGATACAACGAAGAATTGAGGAATTATAATCCAATTAATTATAATAATTATCCTGGTTTACCGAACGCTTCAGAACTTTTTTCCGGATCTTCAGCTTTAGGACGTACCATTGAAGCTACTAGCAATATGCAATTGAGGTGCAGAACTAGACATCAGAAAGACAAGAAGAGTTTCAGAGAAAATGGAAAATTGTCAAAGGACGAAAAGAAAGCCAAAGAGAACGAGATTCCACTTACTATGAATGATATAGTAAATTTACCAATTGATGAATTCAACGATCGATTATCGAAACACGAATTAAATGACACTCAATTATCATTAGCAAGAGATATTAGAAGACGAGGAAAAAATAAAGTAAGTTTGTATTTACATTTTGCAATACAAGTCGACCCCCCTATAACACTGTTGATTTTTCCATTTTATATGAATTCCATGTTGTACGAGTCACTTAGATTTTACAAATACGTGAGCCGTTCACAGCCNAAGTAAACAATACATACAAGTACAGTACAGTATTTTCTGAGGAAACACTCATACTTATTTTTTTAACCCCATTCCCGATAACCCGGCATTTTCACAAACTCGGCCACCCTTCGGTCCACATTAGGCCGAGTTTTCGAGGTTCTACTGTAATAGTAGTGTAGTAAACTATAAACAGGCTTAAACATTAGGAAAAGTATTTGTTATATTCTGTAATTTGTTACTCTTCGCATTACCAAAGATTATAAAATAAATAATTGTAAATGTAATGGCTGTTTTTGTTAGGCATAATTACTGCATTGCTACTCACAAAATATTTTTAAGCAGTACCGGATTGCTCACTTGGCACAGTTGGCACGTGAGGCACATGTTTAGGAGTCTCGAGGCCCCGAAATTGGGAAGAAATTAAGCAATTTTGCCATTCAAATTGTATATCATAATTTATAAACAATTCTATATCAACAATTAGAGTTCATGATATCTTAAAATTATATAGAGGGACTTCCAATCTTCTGCGCCTAAGGCCCCAAAAGGTCTAAATGCTCATGTCTTGATCATTTCTTTATGAAGTAAACTCTAAGGGATACTTACAGAAACAAATTCAAAACAAAATGTTCGTTTGTTCTGACCCCTGTCATGATTTAAGTGGTCAGAGAATGCATAATGAACAGTTTCGTGTCTAAAGGCTAGGATAAAGCTTAAGGTAACAAAGACTTAAAATTTTTTAAACTGTTGTTTAATAAATTGTTAATATTATAATAGGGGATAAAGGGGAAAAATTAACTAATAAATAGACGTATAGGAAAATAAATAATAAAATTAGGATTAATGTTAAAAAGGCAACATCCTTTCAGAATTAAGAAGAATTAATTATGTTTATATATGGGCCTATATATAAAATTTATGATGATAATTCAATTTTTGTGGGCCGTTGACACTTGAAAGCCAGGGCTTAAGCCCTATTAGTTCCTATGTAGATCTGCTTCTGTTATATATGTGTATGTATGTCTTCTTCTTTAATAACATAATTCAAAATGATATTTCAGTTGATAGCTTGAATGACAATTGACTTCATTGCTCTAACTAAAACATTGTTACAAAAATTTCAGCATATTTTTGTTCATTTCACGAATTGTAATACTATGTATGTGCTATGAAGTTTAATGTATTTGCTAGAGATTTTACAGAAAATAATACTATTATTTATAACTATTTGTATATTTGCATACAGTTATTTGTATATAAATTTACATAATTGTAGAGTATATTTATTTGTATTCATCTATCATTCGTGCAAATCGATGCTATTGTATTCAATCGCTGTTATGAAAGAAATATATGATGATAGATTCTACAAGGTTTTCTTCAGTGTGATATTTACATATATCTTCTTCATATGAAGTGACACGTGAACATCTCCATACAAATTCTATATCCCGAATTGAATTTTTATTTTATTCATCTTAAAATAAACTATTACTAGATAATTCGATATTTAAAATCTAAATAAAATTCACCCTCTAATTCTGTATTCTAAAAAGTCGGAAAAATTAAAATTACTATTTTTATTCTATTGTAACGTATTCGGGAAGTTCTCTCCTCCTAACACCAGCAATTTATAAGATAGTTTCTAAGTCGTTAAATATGGAAGTTAATGTTTAATTTAGTTTTTCCGAAGGAGAATGTTTTCCGGGAAGTCTTTTATGTGAAACTAGTCCCTATTTAGGTGTTACTAACGCGAATAAAACTCGGAAAACTCCACGTAATCAGCCCGTTGTACAGGCGCAAACCCATAACTACTGTTTAGTGGTTTTATCATTTGGCTACTAGTGGATTCTGGAAGGTAAAGACTTGCTGAAAACGATAAAATTTTAAAATTTGGATCCTTGATTAATGATTTATTGCTATGTAATTCTGCCCCTAAGCTTTCCATATATGCTATTGAATTTAATTAAATTCAATAGCTTTAAATGAGATTAAGGAAAGACAGTGGAAATTTATAGGTCTACAATCTTTTCAAATTGCAGCCCAAAAATACATTTTGGAAAAGTCAACTTAAATTAAATTATTTTAATTTAAAGTTATTATTATTATTATTATTTATATTTTTCACAATTTGTTATTATTGAAAGTGGTGTAAGTCCATTTTACGTAAAAAAAAATCGTGTATTTTCTTTAACGATTCTATTAATTATTATTACATAATAAAATCTAACAAGTTTATAGTTTTAAAAATATTATCTGAGTTTATTAACGTTTGTTTCAATATTTTTCTGTTGATTTAAACGCAAACTCTTAAATATCTCAATATATGAATGAATGGACTTTTATACTTTCATTTATAAAGGAACCCAAAAGAACAACAATATTAAAAGTTAGTAAAAAATCTAAAACATTCGAATCCACGAGGTGAGAGGTTATTGATAATTTCACGACAAGATGTTGAGGTCAAATTCAGTCGTATTTTAAGGCCCTTTATTTGTCAGATTTAATCTTCTGGAGCTTTCCATCTTCCTAAAAGAATAAATATAAGTTTATTCATTTATATATTAATAATTAAAGCTGAAAATAAAAGAATGACTTAATATACAACACATTTCTAATGTATGTAGTTCGGAACACAGAACAGCTCACTACAAGAAAAATCACAAACACAGACAATAATCATACGAATAATTCATTATAATGTAAAAATATACATTATAAAATATCTATTTTAATATAATTGACTATAATCATAATCATATTAATAGATTATTTCAAGGACCTACCGAATATTCGAAATTATTATTGAATTCATTGGTAAATATATACTCTATATAATATATATAGGCTATATATTTTACCAAAGTCGATTATATAATTTTAGTAATAATAAATTGTATTTTAGATCAAACATTGTCGAAATCAAATGCAAAGATACACCTAGGCATGTGACAAAGTTGAATATCAAATTAATTTACTTAAATTTATCTATAAAAATAAACTTTATTATATTAAAAATATAAAGCAGTTCAAATACATAAAAAATTAGATATAAATTGTAATGAAAAATAAATGATTATAATTATCAAATGAAAACGTTTAGTTTGTGTCTATTGTTGACTTCTTGTATGCTTTACGCATTGAAAGATTTCACCAAAAAGTTGGAAACATACTAAGACAAAATTAAAATAATTAAAGATAACAGAAGCAATGGAGACGGTACATTGTCAAATTATCTTATTTTAATTGAAGTTAAATTCATATTCTTTGTCTTTAAGAACGAAATACATTTTTTTATCAACAGCTTACTGTCTTCGAATCTTGTTCCAAATATAAGGAATTTTCTGGATGAAAACAAGAACTTATTCGATTTATAAAAGTTGTACAACTATTTAGGTATTAATTAGGGTTTCTCAAACAGGGTCCCGGGATTCCGATTGTATTTTTAATCCGGGAAATATCTCGGAAAATTCTTCTCGTTCCGGGAAATCCCGCAAATTTCTTAAAAATTCACTTTTTTTTCTTATTTTGTGTTAATAAGGTTGAGGAAATTTTACAAATAGAAAGAGTATAATTAAGATATACAAAATATCTTGAAATCGTTTTTTTTTAAAGTAATTTAATGCATTCTTCAATCTCCAAAATCATATTAATAATGCTGTATAAGATATATATTAAAGATTACCTTTTGAATTACGTAGAAATTTTCACAAATAGAAAAAATTTATTAAAGTTTGCTCAATTTGATTCTTATTTTAGTAATGAAAAGTCCTGCTACCGAAAATGCTCTTTCCGATTCAATTGATGTGAGTGGAATTCTGTCTTCTCTTAAATAAACACGTGTTATGTGTTTTTTTCGCCTGTAGCCCGGAAGATTTCTACTTCGTTTTCGAGATTTTAGTACTTCTTTTGCTTTCTAGTATTCTTGATTTGTCTACCTCTGCTGTTTTAACAGAAACATCGAGTTTATAGCTTAATAATTCGGCAGTTCGTTTGTCTTTAATAATCAGGTTTATAAAGAAAAACTTCATACTCGCAGACTTCGTACTCGTTTGTATTCTTGCCCAATTTGCACAACTGGCGTTATGCAGTTATTTAAGCTATCGGGCATGGTTAAAAATTAAGACAGCATAAGCACAATTGAAATGAGAAACCCTAGTATTAATATAATTCTAAGACAAATATCAATATGTTATCGATCCTCCATTAATTAAAGTAAAAGAAATTCTTAAGCGGTTTTTCTGTTCTTACTAAAATAGTATTTTATACTGTTTGAAGAATAGATGTTCACACTTTGTTTTCTTCAGTATACGTTCGATGCAATACAATAGGCTACACTAAAGAATGCTCGAGGCACAACGTTTTCCTTTGTACTGTACTGTACAGTATAATCGTTATGCCGAAAGAAATGTTATAGGCCTATCACAAAAATAAAATTCTGTATACTTTTAAGAATTATTGAAATTATAAACGTTTTTAATACATTAGCAATTATTATTATTTAAAAAAATTAAAATATAGTGAATATTAAATACATTAGAATGTTTATTATATCTAAGCAAAATTTGTCTTATGATGGGAAAAATTGATAATCTATTAATTTGTGATGTGTTTAATTGTGTTATTCCTATTCGAACTCATTTAGGGCCAGTTGTCCGAGTTTTAATCAAGGTCAAAGGTTGCTTAATCTATAATTACTCTCCACATGTTAGACGAATGCTCTTTGTTGAGTCAAAGTACTTATCGAGCAATGGGCATAACTGATTCTTTGAATTTGTGACAAGGTTTAAGCTTAACTAATGGCCCTTAATCTATTTTTTATGCATCGAAAACAAGTTTTAGATGCCCGCAGCAGTTTAAGACTTACTTGTTAGTTTAAACAGATCAGA